TTAACGAATTTCTTTATGTTTATGGTTAACTTTACCTTTAATAAAGGTAACCATGCGTCTGTTAAATATAGTGCTTTTGGACGTCAAAAATAACATTTGGCGCTAACTATAACCTTACTTGCCAATTGCCAATATTCGGAACGAATAGGCACTGAAAGAAGAAGAATAACCTTACTTTTTTTATTTGTTATGGTATTTTAATATAAATGGTCTCTTTGTTTCTTTCTTTGAAATTATAGAAGTTTTTGTAGAGGTATTTGTATTTTAATTGTAGAGGTATTTGCTTATTTTTTCTGAGAAAATTATGGGCGAAAATATTGACCTTGTAATCCATAGAGGTGTAGGTGAACGTGCAAATATCAATTTAATTAGTCAACTGATATTGCGGGATATTTTTGTAGAAGTTGCGGAAAATCAAGTGGTGCATCTTCAAAGGCCTGACTTTAATTTGGAGAATTGGTCAGAGGAAAATTGCTTGAGTCATTTTAGATTTCAGAAGGAAGGTATTACTCGCCTATCTCATGCATTAGGGATACCTGACAACATATCCACTAGATCTGGGCATAAGGCTACAGGTAGATATACTCTAAGGGCTCTAATGAATAAAAAATTAAGTTAACTATATTGAAATCTGTGCACTTTCATATAAAAAATATTGTAGAAATAATGTGACTATGAGGGGTAATAAGTACTAGCACATATTAAATAACAGATGTGTTATTTATTCCGTGGTACTAAAACTTAAAACCTTCCCAAATTTCACAGTGAACACGAATCGAATATTTACTACTTATCTACACCAACTGGTGAACAGCTGTTCATCTACAACAAAAATTCTAACCTTAAAATTTCCAACCAATCACAAACAAGAAAAATAACGATAACCATTACTCTTATATCGCTGTAATTACCGCCAGTCCTTATGTTTAATAACGACAACGGCTAGCCAAATCGCAACTGCGCAGACGTCAAATAAACATAACGTTAACGAAGTGTCAGAAAGCCATGACCAAAAACTCCCTATTAATTTTATTTACAGTAAATAAACTAGATAGGGTGATGTCTAATACCTATCTCTCAATTTTAATCATAAATGTGGGTTTAATATATATTTTAATAATGTATATGTTAAAAAGAAAACAAATTATAGTAAACAACAAAAAATATGTAGGTTAAATACTTGAAGAAAATTATATGAACAAACAAGTCAGTATACAAAATAGCTCAAACTCATTTAAACCTTAACACGTTCGCACCTAACCTATTGATACTAGACGTTCCTCAGAAACGGATATGGGTTTTTAGGTAAAAAACAGGAATATTGGATTAAAACTTGAACACATGGATTAGTATATAGATATTAAAACAATTTTTTTTGTTTACTTAGCCTGTCAGTATACTGGTAGTCAGGATATAGATGTACGTTTTTAACTATATACTAAATACCAGTATACTGGCAGGCAAAACAAACAACAATAATCGCTGTATAATTGGGAAAAAAATTTCTCTTATCAATTTTATCATTTTTTTTTATTACAAAAGAAACATAATTATCATTCTAAACTTAAAACTATAAAAAACAAATTTATTGTTTAACTAGTGTATGGAACAATAATTTGTAGCACGGAACTATGCATAGTCCTGGTGAGTCGGGGCAGCTGGGACAATAATAACGGGACCTTTTTCGGACATTTTGCTTAGTGCAATATCGGCACCGTAACATACCACTTTTATTTTTTTCTGTGACAGGAACTTGTTCTGGGTAATACATATTGTTTGCAGTTGTTTGTACCTGAATAGCCTTGTTATTGTCGATAAGGTCCATTACTATGCTCTCACGAAATTGCAAAAAAAACGGTTTCTTATTCGATGCTCTCTTGTACATGTATAAGCTGTTCCAAATGCATATGTCTAATAGATGGAAAAACAATTTTCTATACCACCAAAGTGTTTTTCTTGATACCGAGTAATATGACAACATCTGGTTTGCTCGATCTATCCCAGACATGTGCTTATTGTAGTCAAGCACACAATCTGGTTTAATTTTCGTAGCATCTCGTTTACAAACAACCTCAGTCATAACGTGCTTATGCTTTGTGCTGATCATTCTGACATCACGCTTATATTTCCATTTAGTAACCAATACGGGCCCTTTACGTTTCCGTACAGCATCTCCTTTCTTTAGCTTATTTTTTAACATGTCCTTGGGGTTTCCAGTTCTGTCTTCTCGTAGAGTTCCAACAACGTGTGTCTTTTCCTTGAATAGGGCTTCCGCCAATCCTACGCTGTTGTAGAAATTATCCATGTATAAAACATGACCTTTTCCGAAATAATCCTTCGTCAACTCTTTGACAATATCCGCCGTTTTCAAGGTACCTCTTCCGGTATATACAATAATATTTAATATATATCCATCGTGTGTAGTGAGTTCGTATAGTTTAATCCCATACTTGTGACGTTTACTGGCTATGTATTGTCAAAAGATAAGACGACCACACCACAAGATCATGGCCTCATCAATAGAGAGGGTATAGACAATTTTGTATATTTTTTAGAACTGCGTCCAAAATAGTCCGAATCTTGTAAAGACGGTCCTCAGTATTAACATCAGTATGGTCTACGAATCGTAGCATTTTTAAAATCCCTAGAAATCTATCGCGGGCCATAGTTTTTCCAAAAACAGGGTGGTAGTAAATACTTTCCCTGCTCCAGTGTTTGGCAAGGGAAGGAAATTTTACGATGCCTTCCAAAACACACAAACCTAGGAATTTTTTGATTTCCTCATTAGAAACTTCTTTCCATACACTTCTTTTTCGTTGTAGATGTGGATACAGTGGGTCGTCTATTAGTTTCACATACAATTGTGTTGATTATATCGTTGTCGAAAAGCACATTAAAATAATCTATGGGTTTTGCATTGGCCGGAATATTTACATTGATAGACGGTATTCCAGTAAAATCAAATTCTGTTACATCTTCTTCTACTTCGCCCCAACCATAATGTTCATCTGAAATGTATTTTGTAGATTTTTTCTGTGTCATAGTGGTATTTGTTGTCTTATTATGGCAAATATTTGGTTCATCTGTTAAATCAAAATGTTGTTCATCCCCAGATTCACTTTGATCGGACTCTGTATCTTCAGAACTATTTACACTAGTTTCGCTAAGATAAGTTTTATCAACTAGAGAATCATCGTCAGAAAAATCGTCTTCGGACTCATTAAGATTTTCTGGGAGACTATCGAAACATTCTGCCTCTATTTTATTTGCTTCAATCTGTAATTCTTGTTCTGTTAACGGGCGATTGCTAACATACTTTGAAAGTCTAGGTTTTTTCATACCACTTGGGCTAAAACAAAAAGAAAACAATTAATAATGCACAAACTATTGAACCACTCTGTACATAACTTTATTTTTCATCTAAATTTTATAATACTTTTAAGAACAATTAAAACATTTCAATATTATTTATTCGTCCAAGAAACATTCAAGTGTTTATAATGGGGCAATAAAAAAAATCTTGTAACTAAATAAAGTGAACAAAATTTAAGAATGCTAAATTTAACTTAAGAGTGAGAGGTTTAAGTTCATACAATCAACTACATTTAAAGTAATATCATCTAAAAAAATAATAAAAAAATTATCAAAAGTGGAATTAGTTGCACAAGTGCTTTTAATTAATCAGTAACTAAAATAACACTAAAATATTAAACCAAAATTATTTTGTTTTATTACTAGCACTATTATGACTTATTCTATAAATGATATTTAATATTTCTTACCCTGGAATATTGTATTATCCATATTTCATCAATAAAATTCACCAATATCACCATATAACCTTAAAATTATCACGTGCTCTAAATGTGTCAATAAAATTGTTTAGTAAAAATTACAAATATGCCATTAGAATTCCACAGCATTGCAGCATTTACACCGGAGAAACCACAGCGATATTAGAAGCTATCAAGAAATCCTCTTCAACGACTGAAAAGAATATTTTAATCATCACAGATTCACTCAGCGCAATTCATGGAATTAATCAACTTTGCACAAAACATAAGAAATGAACTTAATGCACTACACCATATAAATAAAAAGGTTACATTTATCTGGATACCTTCACACATTGGCATAAAAGGCAACGAGGAAGTTGATCAATTAGCACTAAAATCCATCAAAAATGAAAATGTTCCAGAAATTACTAAATATCCCCACACCGACCATAAACGACAGTCCATGAATCATATAATAAATTTATGGCAAGCAACCTGGGATGCAACAGACTTTAAGTTGAAAACAATAAAGCCTCGAGTAGACTCTAGCCTACCACAACAAGGAAAAAGAAGAGATCAAGTAATCGTAAATCGTCTTCGAATCGGCCACACAATACTAACACACCAACACCTTCTAAATAAAGAACCAGTTCCAATTTGTACCTACTGCTCTACTCAACTCACGGTGAAGCATGTGATAGTCGACTGTCCGCAGTTCCAACCTCAGAGAACATGCCGAGGAATTAGTGGAAACCTGAGAAGTGCGCTTACGACAAATATCTCGGATTTATTGCAGTTTCTAAAAGACATAAACATTTATAATAAACTTTAATTTAACAAACTGTACTACTGTGTATGTCCCCCCACTAATAACCCTTGGTGGTTGATGTGGGTTTTGTATGTTTAAATAAAAAAAAAAAAAATGTTTAGCAACGAACTACCAGTATAGTGGCAAAGATTACAATATTGGAGACTACATACATATACGGCGTCTACATCTCGTTCCTTTACTCCTGGTCTGTGTGAATATATAAAGCATTGAAATTAGTAGAGCTGTGAGCCAGTAAAGTGGTAGTCAGTATATTACGGAAAACTCGAACTACCAGTATAGTGGTAGTCAGGTGCGAACGTGTTAAAGAAATTTGATGTTTATATATCGATTGTTAGATCCATGTATATGTCGCTAAAAACTCTAGAACTTAATAACAATACTTACATTTCTAGGTTTAGCTAGTGCAAGATTGGAAATTTTTTCCAATTCTACCATAAGAAAGCAGCGGCAAACCAGGTAAAACAAAAACTAAATTTAATTAGGAAATTTTGCTTTTATTTTATTGTTTATTTCATTTTCTGTATAAAGCAAAATGTTGTGTTTTTCGATTTGGCAGTTTTACACTTTCTAATACATCATCAATTTTTTTCTATTTCTCATACAATCACAAGAGACATTCACTTTGACACATTTTCAAAAACATACTTATTGACGGATTACTATGTTTTTGTATATTCCACCTATTTAAATATTGTTCTACATTTTAGTAATAAAGATTTCTCCAAATTATAGCCATCTTATCTAAAGATCAAAATAGGTATCGAGCAATTATTCTTTAACAACCTAAAACATCTAATAATTTTAGCGACACTGTATATCTATTAGCACCTTTAAAATGTAGTTTGATATAATATTTATATTTAATCAATTTTTTATTTAGTTTTAAATGTACTCTTCCGCCACAATTAGAGAATGGAAGGTGGCTTGTAACTGAAGCAGATGTTAAACCAGGTGACCAGATAGACATTAACACAATAATAAGATTGGAATGCCTCGAAGGTTTTCAATTATATCCTGAAATTCCTCTACATCTTTGTGATAGCAACTGGAATGAAACAACTTTTCCAACGTGCAAAAGTAAGTTTTTATTAATTATTTCGCAATTCTCTGACGAAAAAAATAAAAAAAGTCACTAAAAATTAATATACCTAATTCTTCTATAAAGAGTTATTATTTTTGTGAGTTTTGTTATATTACGTATAGTGCGTTTGATTTAATGATTTAAATATAGTGCAGTTTGTGAGACATCTCTTGTAGGAAAAATGTATTTTATTTAATTTCTTTGCGGAGAAATTGTTTAAGCAATTTTTTTAAATAAATTCCAAAATATTCCTTAAAGTATTTTTTTGAGTTGTTAGGGTCATTGATTCTAAACAAAACAGCTCTCTTCCATTTTTCTTCAAAATTGGTAGTTTATGAGTTATAAGCCATTTTAAATACCAAATGGGTAAGTGCCTAAATTAAAGCTTAAACATTCAACTTCAAGGTTTTCGAAAGAAATTTGGGCTTATTTTACTTGAGACCATTGTTTTTAGTTGTTAATTATGCGCGTCCACTCTATGATTTTTAAGCCGCTGTAGCGCCGCACTATATGGTGCGTCTCCGTGCTCTTATACGTTTTATACGTACTTACGCGACAAATTGTCAACAAATGCGCTTGACAAATAATACTTAACATTTGTTAAAATTTTGTAATTTATTATTAACACAGTTCTTTTTTAATTTATTTATTTATTAAATTATTGATTGTCAATGTGCTTCCTTTATTGTGTCCGGACATGACATTCATAATATTCCGGCCCAGTATCGGGCTACGTTGGTTCCATCTTTGTTGGCGAGCCACAAATCTTTGAGAGTACATCGGTGAGGACAGTTTCTGCATGTAAGAAGATGTTCCATATTCTACGTTTCTCCACAGTCACAGTTCACATCATTTTGGTCTATTTTTCCCCATTTTGCCATGTTTAATTTTACCGACATGATCCCCGTATTTATTTTTTTTTTATAGTTTTCCACGTTTTAAAGTCTAGGGACTGGCCGGTCCATTAAACCTGGGTAGGAGTAAAATACGCTGCTTTATATAGATTTGAGAGTGGCGTTGGTTTCATGCACCTTATCACTATTCTGCATGTCTCATTTAGCGCAATATCAACTTGTTTGGTGTGGGGCAGATATTCAGTGCACGCATATTTAGCAATTCCGAAACAAAGTGCTTGTGCCGTTGTTCTTAAAATGCCAGGACGTGCACCCCATTTACTTCCCGTTAGCTTTCTGAGTATGCTTTTTCTAGTTGCAACTTTCCCTTTCGTTTTTATGTAATGTTGTCTGTAGGTGACCGACCAATCCAGAGTTACTCCAAGGTATATACGTTGAATCATTAATGTGTTGCATGTGTGAGTCCATTTCAAATAGGTAAAGAAATAATAAATAAGACTTACTCACAATCAATTTAATTTAACTATCAGACGACCGGTTTCGCTTTCTACAATATGCAAAGCATCTTCAGGTCTCGATACAAAGTTAAACAAATGATGCCGGTACTCTATTAATAGATGGATGGTAGAACATGTTTGAAACTACTTTATATTGTTGAATGGAGAACTCAATACTATTAATAATAATAATAATAATAATAATAATACATCTTACCGGTGGCTGCCAGGCATTTGTCGGTACTGATTATAAAGAACGCCATGACTCAGTAGGAAAGATTATCCACCAAGAACTAGCTGACAAACTGGGACTTCTCCAAACCGACCATCTTCCTTATTATCAATATGTCCCTGACAGAATGCTTGAAAATGACAACTACAAGCTATACTGGGACCGCACTGTGCTCACAGACCAACCAGTGGCCCATAATAGACCGGATCTCATACTAGTGAATAAAATTACCAGGCAAACAACACTTATTGATGTGGCGATACCTAACACTAACAATTTGCTTGTTAAATACAACGAAAAGATCGCCAAGTATAGGGATCTGGAAATACAAATCAAGAGACAATGGAGAATGGAAAGTACCCAGACAGTACCTATTGTTCTATCTACTACTGGTGTTATTCCCAAGAACCTCCTAGTGAACATAAAAACAGCTGGGTCTAAATGAACATCTTTATAAGGCCATGCAGAAAGTTGTACTCCTCGCGACCTCCAGATGTGTACGAAAATTTCTGGGAGATACTCCGACATACCAAGTCACCTAGGGCTCGATAACACGGAAAGAGTCCCACCAGAGCTCAATCCTTTTGATACCATAGGTATCTGGGATGAGTGAATTTTCCCCTTAGAGGGAGTGTGAGCCGTATGGCTAAATCTGGGATAATAATACTTTATTTCCTTTTTGACAAATACAATTTGTATAGGATCAGTCACAGTTTAGAAAACAAAATTGCTAAATATAAAGGTAAATCTAAAATTACGCTAAACCTAAGGTTACAAGACAAACACAAATAGAAAATGTAAAATTACTAGCATATATGTACTTAAAATAATGTCAACTACTAAAATATTCGTCAACAGAATAAAACGTGTTCTGCAATAAAAAATCTTTTAAAGTTAATTTAAATATTTCCATATTCTTACATTTTTTTATTGGGTCGGGTAACTTATTATATATTCTTTGACCTATTATTGCAGGTGAGTAAAAATGCATATTTCCTTTAGAAAAAGGCACATGCAATTTTTGATTCTGCCTTGTATTTTTATTGTGAATTTGACTATTGGTTTTAAATTTATTAAGATTTAAATGAATAAAAACACAGATTTCAAAAATATATAAGCATGTCACAGTTAAAAGTTTATATCTAGTAAAATAACTCTTACAGCTAGTTATTCGAGAAATACCAGCAATACAACGGACTATTCTTTTTTGAGATAGTAAGACTTCACTGAATTTACAAGACGTACCCCAAAATACTATGCAATACCGCAAACGAGACTCCACCTGAGCATAATACAGCATAATTAGCTGTTTTTCACTTAGTGTATCTTTGAGGTTTCGAACTAGGTAGCATGCCGAGTTTATTTTGGAAATAATATCATCACATTGCCTTTTCCAATTGAGACACTCATCAACATACAAACCCAAAAACTTAAGGCATTGAACTTTTTCAATTTGTGCAGAATATATTGATAGTTCGATATCTAACAGATGTTTCTGTCTATTGTGGAAGTGAATAGCATGCGTTTTATCCGCATTAAGATGTAAGTAATTTGAGGAAAACCAATAACTAAGATCACACAAAAGTTCGTTACATTTATTTTCAAGAGATATTTGTGATTTATCTGATATAAGTATTGAAGTATCATCTGCATAAAGTGTAAACTGTACAGCAGAATTTTATATTAATGTAAATGTAATCTGATTTGCAAACATTTTCTGAGTGCTGTGATAAATCTGTTAAGGAGACATACTGACGACGTTCTGATAGGTAGGATTCTATCCATTTTAGAGAGAGATCTTTAATTCCAATATTTTCTAATTTATTAATGAGTAAGGTATGATCGACACAGTCAAATGCCCTACTGAGATCACAAAAAATTCTGACAAGGCATTCATCCGCATCAATATAGTTAGTTAAAGTCTCATAAAATGAATGAACTGCTGTGTTTGCAGACTTACCTGCCTGGAAGCCATGCTGACATTTACTAATAATACCGTTCTCCAATAAATAAGAGTTTAATCTGTTAAGATAATTCGAATATTTTCGAAAATACTGAGGGGACAGTTATTGGGCGATAATTACTAATATCCTTTGGGTCACCTTTCTTATGCACAGGAACGACTTTTCCCACCTTTAGATAATCCGGGAAAATACCATTGCAAAAAGTCAAGTTTATTAGAAATGTTAAAGGTGATAGTATGAATGGAGTTACTTTTTTTAATAAAAATTGAGGTATTTCATCAAATCCACACGATTTTGAAGATTTCAATTTTCCTATCAATAATTCACTCAGCTCATTTGGAGTGTAAGGATATAATTGTAAAAAATTTTTATTTTCATTATAAGGCGGAGTCCTCAAAGTACTATTTTGATGACTGGGAATTTTAGAATGTACCTCAATTGGAGCATTTTTAAAGAAAACATTGAACATGTTAGCAACAATAGGGCATTCCTCTATTACACAATTTTCTGCTGATTTTAGGCATATATTTTTCCTTCCATTATTATAAACATTATTAGTCATGTCAGCAACAAGTCTCCAGGCACTTTTTGTAGGATTATCTGATGACGAAATAATATTTTGGTAATAATTTTTCTTTGTCAAACATAAAAGTTTCTGGTAAGTTACATGGTACGAAAGTCAACCAACACCTGCAACTTACTCTGCAGTTTCCCCTAGAAGTTATCATATTGTTTCTTTAATTATTCGCATTGTAAAATCATTATTATTCTTGGTCTTGTTCAGTTTAGATGTATTTATTTGTAGCTTAGAAATAAAAATACTTTTTAAAAAACAAATTTCATTTTTGAAATTTAAAATTGGCGCAGTCAGTAGGATTTGTGCGAGTCGCGAAACTGTGAATTTCGTATCTATCGGAAAGCAGACTTTTTCGGGACTTTGGTGTTTCAACGCCTTAAGTACAAATCCAAAGAACATTCCGTTTAGTGGAAAGCAGCCCCATTGGAAAGCAGCCCTTCAGTGACAGCAGTCCTTCATTTGGGTGGACGAATCTGGAGAAGTAGTTGGCAAAGACTATCGAGGTGAGTGCCAAGTTCCTTCTTGCCTTCCTTTTATTTTTCATAAATTTGGAAGATAGCTTGTTAAGACATTGTTTATTAGACGATATTTTCATTTTATGATTAATGCTGATTCCTTGGTAGAATCTCTTAAAAATCTAAAGATTAACTTTAAAAGTAGGAAAAACAAAGATAATAAAAATATTAAAATGGCAACTAACCAAACTGTTCAAGCTAATCAAGATACGGCAACGCGTCCCATTAATTGGGAACTATTTAAGTCAAAAATTTCAAATATTAGACCTTATGATGGAGATACTAATACTTTAAATAAATTTATTTATCTTTGCGATAACTTAATTATTACATATAGAGCATATAATGACCAAGAAT